GGAATATAGAAAAACAAGATAAGGGTGCTGAGCTTTGTCTGAAGAAAACATGCCAGGCTATGGTTGATGGGAAACCTCTGATCGTTTCTTAAACAGTGGAAACTTTTCTACCTTGCGCTAAAAGTGTATAGAACATTGTGTTTGTGCTTGTAAGATTTAATTAACCAATAGGCTTTAGGATACCAGTAACTAGCTTGTAGCCAATGAATTGTCTGGTGTATTATGGACAGAGGGTAGTGACCAATCAAACGTTAGTCTCGGGCGTGTGAACAGTGTGTGAGGAATGCATGTAACCAACCCAGCCTTCTGTTGATGTCTGATCAGTTGCTAGGCAGACATATAAGCGCACTTGTATCGGCAATGAACGATTTTGATTTCTGACTCTTATAGAGTTGTCGGAGTCTGTCATTCTCCTCATGCCACCATGCCTGGGAGGCGGGGTCATGAGTGACATCATAGGGCAGGGGAACCACCCCCTCAGGGATGTCATAACGCACCAGTGACGTCACAACCCAGGGTTGGGGAATCCCCATCACACCTAAGTGAGACTCTGATACTGCAATTCCATTGTGGATCCCCACCTCAACCCCATGAGCTCCCCTGTGATGTCATAAGCCCACTCCCACCACACAGGGGTCCACTATGATGTCACAACACTGGTAGGGAGCCCCAAGAGCTTGCTATGACATCACAATCCTGATGCAGAACACCAAAGGTCCTTTATGATGTCACAGCCCTGGTGGGGAACCCCAAGGGTCATCTATGATGTCACAATTCTGGTTGGAAATACCAGGAGGTCCTCTGTGACATCACAAACATGCTGGGGAACCCTGAAGGTACACTATGATATCAGAACTCCGGTGAGCAAACCCACTGAGTTTTCTGTGACATCACAACCGTCAGAGAAAACCCTACCCCACGTGGCTGCCTGATGACATCACAACCCAGCAGGACACCCCCCACCCTACGCGGGTGTTGTGTGATGCCAGCACCCCACGTGGTCCTCAGTGATGTCACAGCCCCACAGGGAACCCCCATCTCAGAGAGTTCCCCGTGATGTCACTGCCCAGGCAGGGACCCCCCCACTCCAGTGATGTCACAAACCAACAGGGAACCACTCCCACCTTGAAGGATTCGCTATATGAGAAGTAACGGTAGAATTTTGCTTTTGCTAACAGTAATGAAAGAATTACTTTTATTGAGTTAGGCTAAAGCTGTTATTAAATTAGTGTTGCTAAAGTCATAACAGTTGAGCAAGCCTTTTTTGATCACAGGTCAGGCACAGGGTTGGGCATTGTGGGGAGTTGGGCAAGCAGGAGGATGGGGGTGTGTGTCTGTGGTCCGGTATCATGTAAAGAGGAATGGAAGCCAGCAGAAAAGGGTTAAGCGAAGAATTCCTGATGAAGAGGAACCTGGACTTCACCCCCTCCACCAACCCCCCCCACCCAGAGGACCACCGAGACCAACTGGAAATGCCAAAGAAGAGGCGGGGGGGTGGGGGTGGGAAGGAAATCGAGTGGACTTGTTGCTTGGCTTGGTTTTGTTGCATCGTTCTTTGTTTGATTTCATGTTTAAACCGAATAGTTACATATAACACTGTGGATGCCTCCCCCGCTCAGCAGCTGCCTGTTTTGTGATAAGAAGTACTGAAGCAGTGGAAAAGTACAGAGAGAGAGACAGACTCTGAGAAACCAAGGAATAGGAACTGCGCGGGTGCAAAAAAGAGGACTGGAACTATAAAAAGAAGCCCCTGCTGGGACAGGTTGCGCCATGGCGCCCAGTGCTGTATTCTTTGCTCCACTGACTCTGTCCCCAATAAAACATATTTTTAAATATACGTGGGCTTGTTTCTCACAACTGGGGGCTCATCTGGGTGTCCTGGGTTGAGTGAGTGGTGGAGTTTTTTGGTGGCAGGGGAGGGGGCTATCGGGGCGGCCCCCTGTGAGAAGCTTCTTGAAGCTCCCCCAGCTCCACGTGCTCCTCCCACACTGCTCTTGGCCCATTCCACACTGTTCTTGGCCCCTCCCATATCTCTCTTGGCCCCCCTGCACCCCTGTTGGCCCCTCCCACACCACTCTTGGCCCCTCCCACACCCCTTTTGGCCCCTCATATTGCCACTGGCCCCGTCCACATACACCTTGGCCCTGCCAACACCCCTCTAGGCCCCTCCCACACTGCTCTTGACCCCTCCCACACTGCTCTTGACCCCTCCCACACTGCTCTTGGCCCCTCCCACACCCCTCTTGGCCCCCCACCATACCGCACTTGGCCCCTCCCACAACCCTCTTGGCACCTCCCACAACCCTCTAGGCCCCTCCCACACTGCTCTTGACCCCTCCCACACTGCTCTTGGCCCCTCCCACACCCCTCTTGGCCCCCCACCATACCGCACTTGGCCCCTCCCACAACCCTCTTGGCACCTCCCACAACCCTCTAGGCCCCTCCCACACCGCTCTTGGCCCCTCCCACACCCCTCTTGGTCCCTCCCACACCCCTCTTGGCCCCTCCCCCGCCCCTCTTGGCCCCTCCCCCGCCCCTCTTGGCCCCTCCCCCGCCCCTCTTGGCCCCTCCCATACCTCCACTGCCAAGGGGGGGCGGGGCCAATGGCCGATGGGACAGGTCCAAGGGCTGTATGGGGTGGGGGCAAGAGGGGTGTGGGTGGGGCCAATGGCCGAGTGGGCGGGGCCAAGGGGGCTTTGGGCATTGCCAATGGGGCTGTGGGCAGTGCCAGTTGCAGTATGGGAGGGGCCAAGAGGGGTGTGGGAGGGGCCAAGTGCAGTATTGGGGGCCAAGAGGGGTGTGGGAGGGGCCAAGGGCAGTGTGGGAGGGGTCAAGAGCAGTCTGAGGGGGCCAAGAGGGATGTGGGAGGGGCCAAGAGGGGTGTTGGCAGGGCCAAAGGGTATGTGGACGGGGTCAGTGGCAATATGAGGGGCCAAAAGGGGTTTGGGAGGGGCCAAGAGGGGTGCGGGGCGGCCAAGAGCAGTGTGGGAGGTGTCAAGAGCAGTGTGGGAGGGGCCAAGAGCAGCGTGGCAAGTTATGTTTGGATTTGGTGGCTTGTCCTCTTACCTGCACGTGTTTGCTCTTCATTTCTCAGTTCTGACATTCTTCACTCTTGGGAGACACTGCTGCTATTTCTGTTCTCACTGACCATAGGAGCACTGTGCTGTTTTGGAGATCTGGAGCAAGCTGCTACATCAGTGAGGAATGTGTACAGAGGTACTCCTTAAGGTCCTAGCAGGACTGTGTGTGTTTGTCACTATGTTGGTGTCCCTGATTTCTTTTGTGCTTCAGCACTGCTCTAGAGCATCTGGGCTGTTTGTAATCATGATGCAAGCTCATGGCCCCATGCCATGGCTTGGGCATCCCCTGAGAGCATTCTGCATGCCTGCCTGAGAGACACCATAGCTCTCCCATCCATGCCTTCTGCAGCAGCTTGAGTAAAGTAGAATCAAGTAGCACAGACTCTTTCTTCTCTTTTACTGAGCTGAAATTATCCACCAGGTTATTTCCATTCCTCTTCCCTGCAGCACTGATAAATTTCCTCTCTCTTCTGTATAGATATAGTTCTTCAAAAGCTCTTTCTCAACAGAGTAGATGCATGGCAGAAATCCTTACCGAGGATTTGCCTTGCAAAGGTGGAGAAGTTAGTGCCCAGACGCCCATTAGCATCGGGGTAGATCTTTTTTGACCTATTCTTCTGACTTTAAGCGAGACATTAGTGCTTTTTTAAACCTTGCTAGGTATGCCAAAAGCCCTAAGACCATCCCTTTCCAAACATCAGTGGGGATCAAGTTTTCGCCAATCTCTCTTCCAAAACAGAGGCAGCTGCTATCCTCGTTGCTACATGAAGAACATCTGCCATCTGTTATCAAGAGCCTGAAACCTTATCTGGCAGCTACCCTGTTGAATGTTTTTAATACCTGTAAAATAACACTGATGAACCAGCTGCAGAACAGATTAAGGACAAACACAGAAACACTTGCAAAAAACAAAGCATCTCTGTATGTGTGGGCACCCAAAGAAATATTTAATCTTCACAGAACAGGATGTTTTAAATTAGATGCTCAAATCTCCTTCCCTGCAAGCAAGTTCTTATGTAAATCCTGTAAAGCTCTTCCTAGAGAAAATTTGGAAGGCTAGATTTGCTCTGTGTACATTTTCTGTTTGCTAATCAGCGTATTCCATTGCATATCCATCCTGACTAGGAGACAGTAATCCACTCCTCCCAGGACATCAAATTAAGGTAGCAACAGGAAGTCTTTGTCTTTATAGTCCTCTGGAAGCAATGTTGAAATGAGTGGCGTTTTCTTCTCTCCGCCACATAAGGTGAAATGCAAAGGAGATGGCAGGCATTATTTTACTATCCTATGACAGAGATTTGGGGTGAGATTCTGTTTTTTCCCTGGATGAATATGGGAAAATGAGGAAAGAAGATGAGACTCAGTCGGGTGTAATGGAGGAGGAGATGCTCACTTCCCTTTCTTACACTGCTGAAGAGAATGAAGATGGGACAAAAAGATGTTCTTTGCTGTCTTGCAGGCTGAGAAGACAACTGTCTCAAACAAACTCTCAGAGCCTTCAAAGATACCAGCTGAATCATACAGCAGGTCTTCTGGAGAACAGTTGTGGTGCAACTTCAGCCATCCTTTTTCCAGCCTGCAGAGCAGCAGCTTGCCCCTTGTAATGGTGAAGGTGATGGTGACAGTCAGAAGTTGAAAGATATTGGTTTCCTTCTGGAAAATGGGCCACCTCAGTTTGAAATGCTTTACTCCTACCCCAAAGAACACTTCCCACGTGATGCTGATATCAGGTCAATATCTACACACCAGGCCGGACTTGGAACACTTCAGTATTTTCTGCAGCACTCTTACATCCTTGGTGTTTGTGTCCAGGCTTGTCACTTTGTCTGTCTTAGGCACACTGGGAGCCCCCTAAAACAGCACAGCCATGTGATGTGACTCCCAGGAACTTGTGCTCTGTGTATCCATCTCTGGAGGAGGGTTTAGAGTTGCTTCCCTGTGTAACTGGTTTCTTGGCAAAGTTCTCCAATGAAGTTTGTCACTTCTGGTAAGTGAGCTGTCAGCCTGACAGTGCTATGCCTCTCACTTCATTCAAAGTGAATTTTACTTATATGGCTGTCAGGTCTTATACCCACCCTGTTCTTTTGGCTTTCCACTTGTGTGTGTGTGTGTGTGTGTGTGTGTGTGTGTGTGTGTGTGTATGCAGTGTGGTTTCTGAGAAGGTATAATGCCTCTGGTATCAGAAAGCAGAACCTTTAATAACCTCTGGGGTTTTTTAATGCTTTCTTTCATTTCCTTTTAAATTAATCCAACCTTGTCTTGCTGTAATACATGAGGTGCTCTGCCTAAAAAGACATAAATGTGATTAGATTACAAGGTACTTCAAAGATGCCCCACCTTCAGCTGTTTGTGAGTTGCTTAGAATTAGTGGAACTATGTGGCAATGGGCAAAAGTCTTATCCCAAGCAGGACTTTTCCCTTTGGCTGAAATTCCAGGATGCACCAAAAACTCCACAGCTCTTGTGTGCAATGCAGTCATGTCAGCAGGAAATCTGGGGACTTTTAAAATTTGGCCTGTTTTGACGTGGCAGCTCTGCTTCCTGCAGTTCATGCATAAAATGTCATGATGCCCTAGACTGGAGGGTTGGGAATATAATAAATGCCATAAATGCAGTTAGACTCTGATCTTGCTGCCACAAGAAATAATTACATGTTTTTTTTTTCCCCCAGGATTTCGGCATCAGCAAAATCAACCATCCAGATGTGGGAGTGCCTCACCTTGCCACTGCTATCTCTTCCCCCGAGATGAAAGTTACCATCACTCCCCGCTTCCCCTGGGGGAGTTGCAACAAACTGGTGAAATACTGGGAACAGCTCAGTCAGGAGAAAGCTACAAACAAACACACCAGCAAACCAAAAAGACGAAAGGAAGCAGAACCCATAAGAAGCAGTACAGGAGTAGAGTGGTTAGTCAGTTGGCTTCAGATCCAATCCACCAAACATCTCATTTGCTGGATTATTTGCTCTAAGCTCAGACGCTGTGCTCAGTGTTGCCCTTCAGCCCTCTCAGGAGCACCCCACAGCTGTGTTTTTTCAAGGTGTCTTCATGTGATTGAAAACTATGGACCTTAGAAATTGTTCATGAAATGGAAGGAGGACAGGACCGAGTCTTTGCTGGACGGCGCCTGACCTGCTTTCCAGTCTGTGCTGCTGTGTCAACACAGCCAGTAGTCGCAGAGAAGCGTGGAGGTGGAGGCCAAGGTGTACATCGTGGCACTTGGGTAAGGTGCAGTCTTGGAAGACCTATCTCCTGTTTTGAAGCTGCGATTATTGGTTGCTGATGGGAAGATGCTAGCTCATGCTTTGGTCTTCTTTTTCATGGTCCAGGGTGACATCTAATGGCACAGTACCAGACTGCACCACATCCGGGGAAAGCTAAGTGGACAAAAAGCTATAGTTGCCAACCGTTTATCAGGTGACAAGGGCAAGGTAAATTCTGTCAAGGGTGAAAAAACAAATAGACTGTATTAAACTAAACTATAACACAATTTATAGCCATACTTCGATATATATTACCTTAATGAAGCTGGGAAGTTAAGCAGTCTAAAGATGGGAAGTGACAGAGTGAAGCTGTCTATGAATGTGTAAAATATTTCACATAATATGTTAGTTTCATGAAATATCAGTGAGTTTAAACAATATTAAAGGAGGAAGTCCGAGCAATATTCTAGAAAGGAGTCAATCCCAAATATTCTGGTTTGAGTTTGATGTGATGTGCATCTTTCATATATAAAGATGCGTTTATAAAAAATAACAAGATCTTCCAAAATTGTTTTGTCAGAAACAGCATATTCTAATACAGTATGCTATATCAGATATTTTCAACCAGTGCTGTGTTGTGGCATCATTGTTTTGAACTGTGCAAATTGTACATCAGAGATCTGTCCAATCTTACCAGCATGGAAACACTGTGCTGTATGAATTCCCTTTTAGGCACCAGTAAAGGCAATTTTGCACCATTAATTAATGTTGCAAGAAAAATAATTTGTGTGTTGTGTTCAAGTGTAGGAGGCCAACATTTAAAATATGTAATCCCAAATAAGGAGTAACAATAGCAAGAAAAGCTGTGGAATTATTTGAGCTAACTTTTTAGGGAGATAGCAGTTTCCCTGTTTACCTTAAATTGATTGAGTTTTATTTACAGTAATGGGCATTGGATGATACACCTTTTAGAACAGAATAGTTTCAGAATTTCTAAGTTAAAAGGAAAAATCAAACTGTATTATATCTTTAAACATATATGTCTGTATGTTGGTGTATAAAATGCAGTTAGGTTGTACATAGTACACTTTAAGAGTGTCAATGTCCAAAAAGCATTAGAGTACACACAGTTTTAAGGTAAGTTTTTAATCTATGTTATGAATCATAAAGCAAAACCATACCTACTAGGACTTAAGACATGTGAATAGCTATTGGTTCTATCCTTAAGAAGTCCAAGCAGCATATTCTGAACCGAGGGAGAAGGTGGCTTTGGTGTGTTTTGCATCTCTTTAGTCATGGCCTGCTGGTAGAACATTCCCTCTGTGATCCTTTAGACTTGCAAATTCATGATAAAGATAATTTATCAAGGAAAAATTAATGAGTTTTTGTCTTTTAAAAATATATTTATAAAAAGTATATATATTATTTTGAAAGGATTTTTTCTTTATGGGTTTTTACATTAGGAAGTTGAGTTTCTAGCTACCTTTTTGCCTAGAAAACTTTATAGAGTGATTGGAATATTATCATGCTTCTGGTAGTGGAGAAGCAGTACAAAAAAAATCCTTTCTGTACAACACTAAATTCAGTTGAGGAACTCATTGCTATAGAATGCAGTGGGGACTAAAGTTCACATAGTTAGACAAAATAAGATTAGAAAAAATCATGAAGGATTGGTCCACTGGTGGCTGTTAAATGTAGTTGGAGTGCATCCATCACCTCAGGAACTCACAGCTGCTGATTGCTGAAGAACAGGTGTATGAACAGGGGAAAGGATTACTCTCTGACTGCGCCATTACATATATTAGTTCCCTTAGCATCCAGTATTAGTTACTGTCAGAAATGCATTTCAGCTAGCTGCACTTTTGCTCTCTCCCCTATGGCTCTTCTAATGGCTGATTTTTTTGTTACATGAAACTCCAGTGACAGTTTTCCTGTTTGTTTGTTTGTTTGTTTTTTCTCAAGAGAAACAATGAGCTGAACATAAGCTAATGTTTTTGTTGAAATATCAAGTATATTAATTCAGACTGGAAAAGTGTTTGTTTATCTTAAAGTATAAACGGTCTGTAGTTTTAAAGGTAAATTAGTTACTGTCATGGCCTTAACCCAATATCTTAGCCAATTATTCATCTGGCAGATCTGGAAGTGTAATGTTTTTGGTAGCCTCAAGCTTCCTTTCACTGTATATTGATTGCACTCAAAAGGGGCTTTCAGCTGAACACCTCCAGCCTTCAGGCAAGGAGCCTTTCTCTCACAAAGCATTTGGTATCCAGCAGCTAGAGGTCACGTTTAGACAGTGGTCCTTTCTTCAGCTCTGAGGAAGGTGTTTAATTATATATCATTTCACATCCAGGAAGTAGCCTGGGAATGCACAGACTACTCTATAGGATTTCTTTGTGGGAACACAAAGAATGTTATCTTTTCATTGTGTTGGCTTCTTAAAGAGCCCCATCCACCTCAGATGAAAAACAGTACATTATTTGGGGTTAAAAGTCATTATAAGCAAGGTGTAATTTTTTGAAGCAGGTATAATTAAGCATTGGAAAATTTTAAAATCAAAGGAAGGATTACTAAATTATTTTAGTAATCCTTCCTTTGATTTTAAACACTTTTATTTCAAACACTTACTAAAGTGTTGGAAATAATTTAGAGAAATCCAGAATAGGCTGTGGCCTGGTGGAAGTCAATCTGACTGTGATAATAATAGGGGAGAAAAAAAGAAAAAAAAAAAAAAAAAAAGAGTTGGGATTCTGAGTGACTGTTACCTCTCAGGAACAAGACCAGACAATTATAATCGATATTTCAATGAAAATATATAAGCAGTGCTCTGTGCAATCAGAAAAAATGTGTGAGTTGAATGCTAAGATCTGTGGAAGGCAGTAGATGGCGCAAAGATGTTGGAGAAGCTCCCGGGTTTTTGTTCAGGTTATGGATCAGGCTCCAGAAGTTCTTAGGGTGAGCATGGCAAGAGGAAAAGGATCCTAATAGTTGTGTATCAGTTTTATTGCTCAAAATCCAACAAGGATCATGTGCGTGAGGAAATGAAAGAAATGCAATCTGTATGGGAGCCACACATAGCAGCTTTAAAGTGAATTGTCTGCAAATGTTATCTGCTAAATATTTTTATTACAGTGTTTTACAAACATTATACCCCCACCTAGATCTTTGTAGCTTTTTTCCAGTGTGTTTTTTTTTTCTGTTGTGTCCTTCAAGTTTGGACTTTTCCCACTCTGCCTTGAGATGAAACAAAGACTTCAGAACTTTCCAAAATAATCAATAAATTACCATGTCGTGCTCCCACACACCCAGGTTATAGAGAGGCATATTTAACTCCTTTGTTATTGATCTCCCCTGTATCTTTATCCAGGCTCTGTACCTTGGATGCCCTAGTTATTTGCTTTTTTGAGGAGGGCTAATCTCTTTCCATCCCTCCCTACCAAAAGTTTAATTCTGGAGCTGAGAAGCTTTCCCTAACAAAAATTAGGTGTGAAAGTTTTGTTGGAGCCAGTGAATCCCTATGAAAAGTGATGATGACCTAGCATTTCCCAACAAAATCTCTCCTGACAGCTTTCACTGCCATGTGTCATTCTCCTGCTTTTGTGGGATGTGGGGGCCAGTGCTCCAGCCCCGCTGCAGCCCCTGGCTCCATGATCATGGAGTTGTGGGTAAGTAGAAGTCACACAGGGTTTACTCATGGCTCAAGTACATTGAGCTGGTGAGTTTGCCAGTTATTATTTACCCTGGCATCTCTATCACTCTTGGCACAGTTGCTGCCATCTTCACAGCATTACACATATGTCAGTCTGAAGGAATCACCAGATTCCCTGGATCGTCTCCCACCACCACATGGCTGGGAGAGGAAAACAGCTCAAATGAAGAGTAATACTGATTTTATGCTCTAGGTCAAAACACTTTCCCCAAATTGACCCTAGCACTTTCTGCTTCATACTCTGCAATCACTTAGTATCCTCTGCTGTGTTTGAGGGGCTGGCAACAGCTCTTTATGCTGCTGTTCTGAGGTGAAGCTCAGGGGAGTAGCAGTTGTACTATGTGAAGGGCTTTACTGGGGGGAAGGAGGGGAAGTAGGAAAGGGTGGATATGGTGAGTGATAGAAATCAGGGACAAAGCTGTACCTTTATGTAAGGCCAGCTTGATGGGAAGAGGAGGAGAGAAAAGTTTGGAAAGTTGCCTACTTTAGAAAGCCAAGAGTAGGCAGTGCCTCAGGGATAGACAGAAGTGCTTCCAGAAAAGGCACCTGCAGAGACTGTGGAGTGCTCAAAATTGAGCCAGGGTAGGGAGCAGATGTGAGTATAGCTGGAAAGAGCTGGAAAGATGGGTTTCCTACAGAGGAAGGTGGGATCCTGGTAATAAATGGTAGTTATGGAAGGACTACTAGGCATGCTAGCTGCTAGGCACATGTTGGGTGCCTTTTAAGGTGATGGCACCTTAAAAGGAGAGGACCAAGGAGAGGCCAGGCATTGTAAAGAGTATTAGTGTGTCTGTACATCAGGAACTAGCTGGAAGTGAGAAAACGAGCTTCAAGGATCTTGAATATGCAGGGCTGCAGGCAGGCATGGGAAGAAGAGGTGCCTGAAGAAGCAGGTGCCTGCCTAGTGCATTGACAGAGGAGCTGGGTAACTGCTGGAAGTAGTCAGAGATTGATTGATGAAACAAATTTTATTTGAAAACCAACAACTTTTCCAATGGAAACATTTTCTAATAATGTGTTGACTTCACCAAGCTTCTGGTAAAATGCAGGTAGTTTCTTTCTAGCCTACCTGGAGGCAAACTCAAGCTTCTAGAATTTATGGTTGTTGGACAGCCCTGCTATCCAGATGTTTCCAGAGCTTTTAAGCTTCTTCTTTACCATATCCACAATATGCCACTGCTTGATTCCAACCTCATTTACACTGAGCAATGGAGGTCTGTGGAAAGACACTGTAACTAGTGCTAACCCAAGCTGGTGTATCCACCTGATAATGTGATGTTGTGCAGAGACAACAGATGGTGGCCAAGATCATCAGTACAGGATCATATCTGAGGTGATAAATGCACCCTTTGGTTCTCCTGCTTACACAGCTGGTCAGGGAATCACTGCGCCCCACTCTGTTGAGACAGATGTCTTGCTCAGCATTTGCTGACAGCTATTTGCATGACCACATGCAAACAGTACAAGGACAGGAGTTATGTCATTGCCATCACTCGTGATACCGGGGTCAAAATCATATGAA